TATGTAGTACCTTTTCACTGTGTCACACTTGTCTCTCATGCTCTTGTGTTTATTTTCCTTTTTTTATTTTATTTATTTATTTATTTTTGTCTTTTTTTTTTCCGTGTCCGGCAACGGATCGCAACCCTCAGTGTCGCCCCCGTCGCGGCCGGTGACCGGCACCGGGATCGCACCCCTCGGTGTTGCTCCCACGCCTCGCTCAGCCAGTGAGCGGGAACCAGTCTGTATGTGGGATCCGAACCCTCGGCGGGAGCGCCACCGCACTTCCCAAGCGGCGCACTATAGCAGTGCGCCACCGGGCCGGCCCAGATATCAATTTTTTCAGTTTTTGAATTTTCATTTGATTCTTTATTATAAATGCCAATTGTCTGGTGAAGTTCTCCATCTTTTCATCTAACTCCAATTCTCTGTGTGATGGTTTCTATTGAATTTTTTTTCTCTTATTTTGGATATGTGGTCCTGTCTTTTGTATGTGTAGGATTTTTTTTAGTGTGTCAGACACTGTGTCTAAAAATTTGTAGAGGAACTGGATGATGATATCTTTCTCTATAGTGGATCATCTTTCCCTATTTCAGCAGATAGAGTGGAGGGTGAACACCTTTATCCAGTCAGGCATGGTGTTGAATCCAGGCTGGGTTGAAGCCGTGGTAAGACTCAGTACACCTCTGGTTTACCTTGGCCATCCAAGATTTTCAGCTGAGAGCCCAGTTTGTCTTCTGGGGACCCTCCTCCTGCTAGATGCCTAACTGTTTTCTTACCAGTTACTAAAATTTTGCTTTGCTCTTCAGTACATGTTTGCTTAAGGTTTCAGTCTTCTGCCCTGTACAGCTCTAGAATTCAGCAAATATCCTGAGAGGGAAATGGCCATGTTAATGTGTTCTCATTGTTTTTCTGTCACCTGCTGCAGCCTCTACTGGTTCAAAGCTGGATTCTCACCTTTACCCCCACCTAGAATTGGTAGATGCTCCTGGTGTAAAAGTGGCTGCATATGTCAGCTTAAATCTTAAATGTTCTCTCCTCTCCAGAGTCTGAGCTCCTACATTTCTTGTTACCTCAGCAGCTTTACAGGGCTTTGCACTGGACTGCCACAGGCTACTGCATCCCATCTGGAAATGGCAGTATGTCAAAAAAGCCATCCCCTTCATATGCTATAAAGTTTACCCATTTAAAATGTACAATTCAGGCCGGCCCCGTGGCACACTCGGGAGAGTGCGGGGCTGGGAGCGCAGCGCCGCTCCCGCCACGGGTTCGGATCCTATATAGGACTGGCCGGTGCGCTCACTGGCTGAGTGCGGTGCGGGCGACACCACACCAAGGGTTGTGATCCCCTTACCGGTCACGAAAAAGACAAATAAAATAAAATAAAAATAAAATGTACAATTCATTGGTTTTTAGTATGTTCACTGGGTTGTGCAATCATCATCACAATCAATTTTAGAACATTTTCTTTACTCCTCTCCAAAATTTATACTTTTTGTCTGTCACCCACAAATCCTCCCATTTCCCCAACCCTAGGCAACCAATAATCTACTTCCCTCTCAATAGATTTGCCTATTCTGGCCATGTCATATAAATGAAATCATATAATACATGGCTGTTTGTGACTGGCTTCTTTCACTTTACATAATGTTTTCAAGATTCATCCACATTGTAGCATATGTCAGTGCTTCATTCCTATTTATGGCTGAATACTATTTTATTGTATGGATATGCCACATTTTCTTTATCAATTCATTAATTGGCATTCATTGGAATTGTTTCCATTTTTGGCTATTATGAATAATGCTACTATGAACATTCATGTACAAGTTTTGTGTGGATAAATGTTTTCATTTCTATTGGGTATATACTTAGAATTGCTGGATCATATATATATATATATTTTGTCCTTTTTGAGACCGGCCGCACTGCGCTCAGCCAGTGAGCACTGTGAGCGCACTGGCCATCCCTATATAGGATCCGAACCCGCAGCGGGAACGGCGCTGCGCTCCCAGCACCCTGGATCATATTTTAACTCTGTGGTTAACATTTTGAGGAATTGTGAGACTGCTTTACAAAGTGGCTGCACCATTTTCATACACACCGGTACTGTATGAGGTTTCTAACTTCTCCACTTCATTGCTAACACTTGCTATTATCTGTCTTTCTTCTTAATAGCCATCCTAGTGGGTACATTTCCCTGATGATGAATGATACTGAGCATTGTAATCAGTGAATTTGAAGGAATATCTCTGTGATTTTGATGCATTTCCCTGATGATTAAAGGTGTTGAGAATCTTTTCATGTGCTTATTGACTGTATGTCTTTTTTTGAGAAATATATATTTAGATAATTTGCCCCTTTTTAATTGGGTTATTTGACTTTTTACTGAGATGTAATTGTTCTTTATATATTCTAGATACAAGTCTCTCATCAAATATATGATTTGTAAAAATTATCTTCCAGTCTGTGAGTTTTCTTTTCACTTTCACTTTCTTGATGGTATCTCTCTTTTTTTTGGATGAAGTCCTGTTTATCTGTTTTTTCCTTTGGTTACTTGTGTTTTTGGTCACATATCTAAGAAACAATTGCCAAATTCACCGTCACAAAGATTTACTTCTTATAGTGAAAATGTAAGTGTTGGATAAATGTAAAAATATTTAGGCCTTGGATTCATTTTGAATTAATTTTGTGATATGATATGAAGTAGGGGTCCAACTTTATTCTTTTGCATGTAGATATCCACTAGTCCCAGCATCATTTGTTGTAAAGACTTGATTTGTTTTGATTATTTTGACACCCTTTAATATAAGGGTGTCAATTATCAATTAACCATTAATATAAGGTTTTATTTCTAGATTTTCAATTATATTCCATTGGTCTATATGTCTGTCCTTATGCTAGTGCCACACTGTTTTGAGAAAAAGAGGCTTGGTGTGGGAGGGGATGGCCAGTACAAGGATTGAACCCTGGACCTTGGAGATAACAGCACCATGCTGTAACTAACTGAGCTAACTGGCCAGCCCCAAAAAAGAGTCTATTTAAATCATCTTTTAAAAAGAAACAATTGACTTACTCAGTGATCAATGAATGCAAAGTGAATGGCAAGATATATTTTCTTTTTTAAGTGAACTATTGTTGAAGTATGGCATACATGCAAAAGAACAAACCATGTGTATAGAGCTTGATGAATTTGCACAGCTTATTATTAAATAACTAGCACACAGATTTAAAAACAGTATTATCAATACTGCAGAAGGAATAGCATGGTAATTTAATAAGATTTCTTTTTACTTCAAAATAACTATGTAAAATATAGGTGTGGAATGGGAACTTATATATTGTATCATATTAAACATAATGTCTTAAATGTCTTGTTGCCATACTGCTATCTTGATCCTTCCCATTGAGTAGGATTTTGTTTTTACAGGGATCAGTGTCACTGAAGGATGTAACTGTGGACTTCAGCAGGGAGGAGTGGCAGCGATTAGACCTCGCTCAGAAAAGCCTGTACAGGGATGTGATGCTGGAAAACTATTTCAACTTGATCTCAGTGGGTAAGTACAGTTCTGCGGGGTATGTAGTAGGCTGTACCTCATTGAGTGTATTTTTTTCTCACTGGAATTTCTGAAATCTATGGGTCTTCTGAGGTATGTGGGACTTCTAAAGACTGTAGGACATCTGAAGTGTGTAATGGTTTTGTTCTTATTTTGTCCCATATTCTTAATTATCTCTTCTGGGTAGTGTGAATATACTCTGTTCCCAGTGAACTCTTCTGGAAAGCAAATGGAATACTTCACTGCATGGCCTCTGAAACCAAATCCTCTATCACTTCCTGTTAATAGGGTGTCAAGTTCCCAAGCCAGAGGTCATCTTCAACTTGGAGCAAGGAGAACAGCCATGTGTATTGGATGGTGGAACCTCCAGTCAGGGCTGTCCAGGTGAGTAGGAAACCAGGTGTGGCAGACAGCACGACTCACCTGCAGTTGTGCTGGGAGAAGCTGCAGCTTTCAGTGCCATTGCTATGAGGGTCTTCAAAAAGTTCATGGAAACATCCATATTATCTTTTAATTCTGTTTTTTCACAAACTTTCTGAAGTACCTTTCTGACCTTCCTTCTGTACATTCCGAACTTTGAGAACTGCTTAGATAGACTCGATATCTCTATTGATGAGTATCTAAATGCATCCCCACTTAAGGCCTTCCCTGTATCAGTGCCTTCCTCTTTGCTTGACTCTTTAGGAGGGAATGTGCTACAATTACTGTTGCTTAGGGTGATATCCCACCCTACATCATCTAGGATCCTGCTTTCTTACTTTCCTCTCTCTTTCCCTAGAAAAGTTTTATTCTTTCTACCTCCATCAAGGTCCTAGATCCTGTTCTTATGCATTCAAATACTCATGGATCTGCCTTCTTTAAAAATTACTGTGGATCACACTCCTGTTCCTGTTGGTTTCTTTCCATTTTCTCTTTTTTCCCTTTGTGCCTCAGAACATCACCTAGTGTTTCTGTTGCTTATGACAAAATACTTGGAGCTGAGTGATTTATAAGAAAATAAAATTTACTGCTTACTGTTTCAGACGCTAGGAAGTGCAAAGTCCAGAGAACACATCTGGTAAGTCTTCTTTTGTGGTGGCAGCAGTGACGGCAGAGTATCACATTGCGAAAATGGCAGGGCAGAGAGAGAAGAGAGAGGGACAGACTCTCCTCTTTATTTGAAAGCCCTCAGAACCACGCCCCATGACCACCATTTTTAATCCATTCACTACTGCACGGTCCTACAATCTAATCACCTCTTCGAGGCCCCACCTTTCAATTACCATAATAGGATTTCCCACCCTCTTAACAGTCACAGTGGGGGCCAAGTTTCTAATATATAAAACATGCGGGACACAACTCCAGCTTCAGTGAGTTTGGGGGGGACATTCAGTCTACTACACCTAGTCTTACGTTTTTTGTTTTTTTTTCTTAAAGATGACCGGTAAGGGGATCTTAACCCTTGGCTTGGTGTTGTCAGCACCACGCTCAACCAGTGAGCCAACAGGCCATCCCTATATAGGATCCGAACCCGTGGCCTTGGTGTTATCAGCACCACACTCTCCCGAGTGAGCCACTGGCCGGCCCTCACCTAGTCTTACTTTGTAATCTCCCCATGCCTCTCTTCTGATGGTTGACTTTGGGGGTGCTCTTCACATTTTCTTCCTACTTGGCTAGGGCAACCCAATGCTGACTTGCTCCTTCCGACTAGTTTATTTATTTTGATATTTTGCAGAAAGTTTTTGTACCTTACATGCAGGAGATTAAGTTAATTAAAGCCTTAGTCAATATCACCATCTATGTGCTTAAGGCTCCCCTCTCATTTTATTTACTCCTTTTAATCCCCTCTCCTATACTCATTTTAATCCTTCCCAGAGGCAATTGCTCTAATATACTTGACATGTTTGCTCTCTATCCTTGACTTTGTGTGGTATTTGTAAAATCTACATTGTTGGTATTTTTTAATTTATAGGAATGGCACTGTGTTTTATATCCTATTCAGTTTCTTTTCTTTCTTTCCTTTTTTTTTTTGCAGATTGGTCTACGTTGCAATGTTTTTTAGTTCATTGCTTCTAATTGCTGCACAGCATTCCATAATGTGGATATATATACTAGGTTTTACTTGTCAAGCCTTCCAGCTACTACAAACAGTACTATAGTAAATTTCTTCCTGAATTATTCTTATAAGAACTGAGAATTTCTCAGGGAAGAGTAGTGGGATTGTTTTATCATTGGGTATACTAATACTTCATATACTAAGTATAACCACATTATTTTCTAGATTGGCTATATCATTCGATAGTCCCCTGAGCATTGCACAAGAATATTGGTTTCCCTACATCTTTGCCCATACCTAGAGTTATTCAGATTTCTCATAATTTGGCTAATCTAATGGGTTTTGGTTTCTACTTATTGTTTTTTTGTTTGTTTGTTTGTTTGTTTGTTTGTTTTTCCCTTTTTTGTCTTTTTTCGTGTCTGGCAACGGATCGCAACCCTCAGTGTTGCGCCTGTACCGGACCGGGACCGGCAACGGGATCGCAACCCTCAGTGTTGCACCTGCACCTCGCTCAGCCAGTGAGCGGGAACCGGTCTGTATGTGGGATCCGAACCCTCGGCGGGAGCGCCGCCGTGCTCCCAAGTGGCGCACTGTAGCAGTGTGCCACCGGGCCGGCCCTCTACTTATTGTTTTAACTTGTGTTTCTGTTATAACAAAATATTTTGAGCATCTCATTCCGTATCTCACAGTAGATACTGACTTATTTTTGATATTTGACTGCTGACATCTATTCCTACCCCTCTCTTTTCCCCCACTGCTCCACATCTGGACAAACTGATAAGAAAGCCCAGGTATTCCCTCCCTCGGTGCTGGTGGGAAGTTCAAACCACATGTAGAGACAGTCAGCCCAGCCCACTCCACCCGATATCTGCCATAAAAACCCCAAGCCAGTCCCCTTGCCTCGCTCTCTCAAGCCACATTTGGACCTGCTTGGCACTCTCCTGAAAAGGTTCATTATGTGAGTCATGAGCCTTTTCATACCCTCTTAGTGTGTATGTCCCGTCCTCACTGTTGACATCTGAACCAAATCTGGGGTGACTTAACAGTTGGGGCCGTGAGCAGGATGTCCAGACAGTGACCACCACCACAGGGGCCTCCCTCCTCTTCCTAGCTGGCTCTACTGCCTGCTGGCCAGGATGCACTTTGCCTCTGGCATATACATAACTAAGCTAAGTTGGAAGTTTTAATTTGCAGTTAGGGACAGGTGTAAGGGGTTGGGGCCCTTCTTAAAGTCTCCCAGGTCCTGTGTCTCAGATTAAGTATGTGTCTCAGTTCCAGTGTAAGCTGTCACTGGTGACTGGCCTTTATTCTGTGACTTTTCATTATGTATCCCAGCCAGGCATTGGCATCCACTGTATACAGTGCTCATGGGAAAGACTGGTACCTTTTGCATATAAGGGTCCCTCGGGTGTCTACTTGTGTGAAGAAGACACATTACAATGCTGCATGCTAAACGCAGGTGGCTTACCTTTCAAATTTTTATCATATTCTATTGTGGTTTTTGACTTTTCCCTCTGATCCATCTTCTCAAGTGATTCATTCTGCTCTTCTACTAATTTTTCTCTTTTAGATGCCTTCTCTTCCTACTTCCCAGTGATACATCTAAAGCCATGTCTATATTTTCTCATGCCTGTATTATTCTAACCTGATTTGGATATGCTAATCCAATTTTCTTTTTTACTAGTTCATCTTAGATGCTACTGATGTATGTCATTACTTAAAACATTGTGCTTTGTGTTTATCCTGCTGTAACCATATGGAGCAAAGCTTAAGTACTACTTGTTTGACACATGACAGATTCTTCTCTTAACAGGTTTATAAACCGAAGAAAGAACATGGCCTCACATTTCTAATTCACATTTATCCTTGTTTAGTTTCCATAACCATGTCTACTCCATTTTCACATTTTCTTTACTGTTCTCCCTGCATCGGAGCCTTTGATTATTTTCTCCTCTGCCTATTCAAGTAATGCACATGCTAATACTTTGTGCCTCGGTTTTGCTTGCTCCTGGAATTGGACTTATTACAGCATACGTTGCTTTTTCCCTTTTCTAATTCTCCAGTCCTTAGAAATTCAGAGAAAACTATATTAAATTATATGATAACTGAGTCTTTTACCCCTATGCTTTAAAAAAATATTTCTGTAGAAAATATTGAGTAAAATTAAACTGTAGAATTTGTTATAGGCAGAAGAGATTGCTTTGCTCTATTTCAGCAGGATTTGAAAAATTTTCTTCTGAAAGCAATTCAAAGGGCCAGAGATCATAGTCAGAAAGAAAAGATAACTGCATGTAATCTTTAAAATTTCAACCTTTGTGCATAATGTTTGCTAATACACATGTCTATGCTAATTTAAGTAAAAATATGAGTGGTTTACATAAATGGACTTTACATTTTCAAATGGTTGAAAAAAATCAAAAGAACACTTCATACCATGTGAAAATTATATGAAACTCAAATTTCTGCCTATGAGTGGTTTATAATATATGCTTGTTTGTTTTTAAGTTAAAAGAAAAAAGAGCATCCCCAGAGTTGTGGTGAGATTTGAGATTAGGTTTTAGAACAGAGAACCCTAAAAGATGTATGACGAATATGAATTTCGAATTGAAACAGAGGATCAGAAAAAGTAAGCTTAAGTGGGGGAAATGAAAAGACTATATATGTTTGGATTCAGTACTAAAATAGACTCGAGTGACTGGTGGAAAGACAGCTTGCATACACATGCCTTTTATTGGCCTGAATTATGACTCTGAATTTTATTGAATGAGTAACTGAATTTTATTGAGTGAGTAACTGGATTAATGGTGGCAGGGGAATTATATATAAATATACTTTTTAACACAGGAGCAAATAAATTTTTTGCATTGAATATTGTTGGTAGTAATGTAAATGTTGTCAGACATAGCAATGGGTTTGTAAGCTAACGAAAGTAAAAGATCAAAATCCATGTTTAGGAATCCAGTATTAGATGTCCTCAGGCTTAATGAAAGCAGTTAATATGTGTGAGTAAAACTGTAATATAACAGTAAAAGGCATCTTTGGGGAGATGACAGGGCCTTAGAGACAGAATAAAATGGATAGGGGGCCGGCCCGGTGGCGCACTGGAGAGTGCACCGCTTGGGAGCGCGGCGGCACTCCCGCCGAGGGTTCGGATCCCATGTGGAGACCGGTTCCCGCTCACTGGCTGAATGTGGTGCGGGCGCAACACCGAGGGTTGCGATCCTGTTGCCGGTCCCCGGTACGGGTGCAACACCAAGGGTTGCGATCCCGTTACCAGTCAGTAAAAAAGAAAAAAAAAATAATAATAATAAAATGGATATGAGGTCAGACTATATCTATATTTAAGAACTCTATTGAATAATATATAATCAAATTTTTACATAAATATTTACTGAGAATCTCCTGTGTCTTACACATTATTCCAGAGTTTGGACTATTGGGGAGTTTCATTCTGGGCAAGAATGGTATATTAGAGTAAAGCCAAGCTCTGTAACTAAGAGACCCCAAGAAACAGTGACTTAGAGAATGTAAACACTGACTTTCACATGACAGTTCCAGGGCGAGCCAGGCAGCTCTGCTTCCAATGGCCACTCAGTGACAAAGTTTCCAGAAAGTCATTGCACCACAATCCCTTAGGGCAGCGGTTGGCAGACATTTTCTGTAAAGGCCCGTAAGTAAATATCTTCGGCCTGTGGTTGCTGTCATAACTGCTCATTTCTGCTGTTCTCACCCCACAGCAGCTATAGACAGTATGTCAATGAATGGCTGTGGCTGTGTTCCAACAAAAACTTTATGGACACTGGAATTTGAGTTTCATATAATTTTCACATGACATGAAGTGGGTTTTTTTTTTTTTTTTCCTTTTTGTTTTATTTTATTTTTTTTCCTTCTTGTCTTTTTTTCGTGACCGGTAACGGGATCGCAACCCTCAGTGTCGCGCCCATACCGCGACCAGCAACGGGATCGCAACCCTCGGTGTCGCGCCTGCACCGCGCTCAACCAGTGAGCGGACCGGTCTCGATATGGGATCCGAACCCTCGGCGGGAGCGCCGCCGCACTCCCAAGCACCGCACTCTACGCACTCTACCGAGTGCGCCACCGGACCGGCCACATGAAGTGTTTTTTTAAATTTTTTTTCAACCATTTGAAAATGTAAAGTCCATTCTTAGCTTTCAGGTAGAGTCCTGGATTTGACGTGAAGGTTGTAGTTTTCTCACCCCTGACTTGGGGCATTGCCAGGCTGCACGGAGCTGGGTGCTGCCATGTATGGAGAGTCTGGAATGTGCTGGTGGAAAGAGGAGTTTCTGAGAGACACACCCACTTCCTGAAGTCATTGGCCATGTCACAACAAACATTTTTACTCCCATTTGGTTGGTGAGAACTGAGTTACTTGGTCAAACCTTATATTAGTCTGTTTCTGTTGCTTATAACAAAATACCTGACTGGGTGATTTATAATAAAATTAAATTTATTGCTTACTGTTTTGGAGGCTGGGAAGTCATCTGGTGAGCACATCTGGTGAAGGCCTTATTGGTGGTGACAGTGATGCAGGAGTCTCAAATGGCAGAAAATGGCAGAGCAGAAAAAGAGATACTCTCAAGTGCTCTCCTTTTAAAGCCCTCAGAACCACACCCGTGATCACCATTATTAATCCATTCACTCGGGCATGGTCTTCACAATCTAATCACCTCTTCAAGTCCCCACATTTTAATTACAGTAGAATTTCCCACCTGCAACAGTTACAGTGGGGATTAAGCTTCACTGAGTTTGGGGGGGCATTCAGTCTACAGCACACTTATTAACAGATGAGGCAACACAAGCCCAATACTCTGCAGCAGCTATGTGTTTGGACACAGTTAATACTGTGCACAAGGGCACAGGTCCTGCTGGGGACCGAGCTTTCAGTCTCTGCCTCAGACACCTGGCCCTTTCTTCTGTTATGCTTCCTAGTAGATACTTGTGTCTCTGCACCCCAAACCATGGACAAAGCATTGAATCATAAACATCCGTTTTACTGTTTGGCTAAGTCAGGATGACTGACCCTATAATAGTTTTACTATAAACATAAATAAATTAGTATGTAGGGCACAGTTGTTAACAGGGGAAAGAGACAGCAGGGAGATTAGTGAGGATCTACAGATGAAAGATAATAAGAATTTACACTCAGAAATACTTCTTCTAAGCCACAGAGTTTGTCACTTTGTTCTTCTGACACTTCACTCACTATGTAGTTCTACTACATTTGCTAGGGTTTGAATCTCTTCTTCCCCAATTACTAAACATTTGATTTGAACAAATTACTAGACTCTTCTGTGGCTCAGTTTCCATCTGTGAAATAGGAACAATAATAATACCAACAGCAAAGAGTTGTGATAAAGTTTTTTGTTGTTGTTTGTTTGTTTTTTTTACTGTGCTGAAAACCTGATTTTATTTTATTTTTTATTTTTCGTTAAATTTTTATTTTGTCAATATACAATGTATATGATTATTATTGTTTGTTTGTTTGTTTGTTTTACTGTGCTGAAAACCTGATTTTATTTTATTTTATTTTTTTCGTTAAATTTTTATTTTGTCAATATACAATGTATATGATTATTATGGCCCATCACCGACACCTCCCTCCCTCCTCCCTCTCTCCCCTCCCCCCCAAGAATGTCCTTTCCGTTTGCTTGTTGTAACAACTTCATAAAAGTATAGTTGTTGTGATAAAGTTTAAATGAATTAATATAGAACTTAGAACAGCACAGCTAAATATTATTGCTTATCATATGGTAAATATGTGTTGATTTTATTACTACATATTATTGTATTATATTACATATAAAAAGATTATTACACCTATATATTTATGTATATCTTACGTATTTATATATATGTTACATTTATATAGCCTCTCCCATTTCTCTGTGTTCACACTGAATCAAGTCCATGTGTCTATCTTTCTATCTTATGTTAATTGTTCTTTGTGTCAGTTTTATCTTTTCTTTCTTTTTTAGATCGGGATATTGGTTTTGAAACTTCACAACAGGGAATATCTGAAGAAGGTTCTTTCCAGTCTGAGAGAATTAATATCTTCACAAGAGATGACCCATATTCCATTTTAGAAGAATTGTGGAAAGATGGTGAACAGACAGGGAGATATGAGGAAAAGCAGATCAAACCTTTCAGTCATGTTGCCTTCATCAACAGAGAAACACTAGCTAATGAGAAGGGCTGTGAGTATAAGGACACTGGAAAAATAGTTCATGTAAACACACACCTTGTTGCTTCAAGAAAAGGACTTCATAACTATGACTCATTTGGGAAGAGTTTGAAGCCTATCATAAGCTTATGTAATGATAATAGAGACAATGCAACAAAAAATCTTGATAAGATGATCAGATACAGTGATATTTTTACTCATGTGAATTCTCATACAGAAGTGGATGCTTGTGGATGTTATCAGTGTAAGAAACTTGTGCATCATAAGCAAGCACAACATCAAAGTGTCCATACTGGGGAGAACCTCTATTTATTTTCTGACTGTGTAAAAGTTTTCACCCAGAAGTCACATCTCTTTGCACATCAGAGTATTTGTACTGAAGAAAAACAGCATGAATGCAGCAAATGTGAGACAGTCTTCACTCAGAAGCCCCATGTGGCTGTGCATCAGAAGGTTTATATGGGAGAGAAACCATACATATGCACTGAATATGGGAAGTCAAACCATCAGAAAGCTAATAATGAGGAGAATTACTACCAGTGCAGTGAATATGGAAGAACCTTTATCCAGAAGTCAGATGTGTTCAGATGCCCGAGAATCCATACTGGAGAAAAACCCTATGAATACAGTGAAGGTGGGAAAACCTTCCCTCAGAATTCAAACCTCAACATACATAAAAAAATTCATACTGGAGGGAAACACTTTGAATGTACTGAATGTGGAAAAGCCTTCACGAGGAAGTCAACACTAAGCATGCATCAGAAAATTCATACAGGAGAAAAACCCTATGTTTGCACTGAGTGTGGGAAAGCCTTTATCCGGAAGTCACATTTTATTACACATGAGCGTATTCATACTGGAGAGAAGCCCTATGAGTGCAGTGACTGTGGGAAATCCTTTATTAAAAAGTCACAACTCCATGTGCATCAGCGCATTCACACAGGAGAGAATCCCTTTATATGTTCAGAATGTGGGAAGGTCTTTACTCACAAGACAAATCTCATTATACACCAGAAGATTCATACTGGAGAGAGACCCTACATATGTACTGAATGTGGGAAGGCCTTTACTGACAGGTCAAATCTCATTAAACATCAAAAAATTCATACTGGAGAGAAACCCTATAAATGCAGTGACTGTGGAAAATCATTCACCTGGAAGTCACGGCTCAGGATACATCAGAAATGTCATACTGGAGAGAGACATTATGAATGCACTGAATGCGGGAAAGCCTTCATTCAGAAATCCACACTAAGTATGCACCAGAGAATCCATAGAGGAGAAAAACCCTATGTTTGCACTGAATGTGGGAAGGCCTTCTTCCACAAATCACACTTTATTACACATGAGAGAATTCATACTGGAGAGAAACCATATGAATGCAGTGACTGTGGGAAATCCTTCACTAAGAAATCACAACTCCACGTACATCAGCAAATTCACACAGGGGAGAAACCCTATAGATGTGCTGAATGTGGAAAGGCCTTCACTGACAGATCAAATCTCTTTACACACCAGAAAATTCACACTGGAGAGAAACCCTTTAAATGTGGTGACTGTGGAAAAGCCTTCACTCGGAAGTCAGGCCTCCATATACATCAGCAATCCCATACTGGAGAAAGACACTATGAGTGCAGTGATTGTGGGAAAGCCTTTGCAAGAAAATCAACACTAATTATGCATCAGAGAATTCATACAGGAGAGAAACCCTACATTTGTACTGAGTGTGGGAAGTCCTTCATCCAGAAGTCGCACTTAAATAGACATAGGAGAATTCATACAGGAGAGAAACCCTATGAATGCAGTGACTGTGGGAAGTCTTTCGTTAAGAAGTCCCAACTTCATGAGCATCATCGAATCCACACTGGAGAGAAACCATATATATGTGCTGAATGTGGAAAGGCCTTCACCATCAGATCAAATCTTATTAAGCACCAGAAAATTCACACTAAACAGAAACCCTATAAATGCAATGACTTTGGAAAATTGTTAACCTGGAAGCCCCAATTAAGTATATGTCAGGAATCTGATAGTGGGGACATAGTGTGCCCCATGCCACAGTCGTGGTGTGGGGAGACCAAGATATGAGAGGCTGCAGCTTGACTGGGAAGTGGGAGGTAACCAAGGCTGACTTCCTTCTACCTGGACAGAATTATGAATGTCTGGATCACACAGCTGATGTCCAGTTACACATACGGGGAGATGCTTTAGAGAAGATTTCTAAGCAGTGTCTATTGGCCATGCTTGGTTACTGGACAGATACTGGTATTGTCAGGCCCCCATAAATAATAGTAAATGTGCAAAGAGGTGACTTGCAACCTTTCTTGTTTCACTTTTTGTGTGAGCAGCTTTATAAATTCAGGGCTGTTGATTTTTTTATGCCCCAGATAGCAAAACTATTTCATTCGATACTGGCCCAGAAAATTTCATAATGCATAAAGTGGTGATAAAATTTTACATTGTCTAAGGACACAGAAATCAAGGCCAAACCTAGGCAATTCAGGTCTAAAATGAAAAGAAACCAGAAGATTTTGTGAAAATTGACACTAAAGACACAAAGAAGGGACTACTTCTTTTCTTTTCTTTGGGAAGTTACATTACTTACTGTTTTTTGTTTTTGTTTTTGACAAGGGGATTGCAACCCTTGGCTCGGTGTCGTCCACACTGCGCTCAACCAGAGAGCACACTGGCCATCCCTGTATAGGATCCGAACCTGTGGCCTAGGTGCTGTCAGCACTGCACTCTCCCGTGTGAGCCACGGGGCCAGCCCACTTACTGTTGATAGTATTTGTTGATGTGTACTGTGGCAACACGTACCCAAGAGCACCTGCTAAAAGTTCTTCCAGCCTGTGTCCCAGAAACTCAACCAGAGAGCACACTGGCCATCCCTGTATAGGATCCGAACCTGTGGCCTAGGTGCTGTCAGCACTGCACTCTCCCGAGTGAGCCACGGGGCCAGCCCACTTACTGTTGATAGTATTTGTTGATGCGTACTGTGGCAACACGTACCCAAGAGCACCTGCTAAAAGTTCTTCCAGCCTGTGTCCCAGAAGTGATCAGTGATCTAAGCAGCAGCCCCCATAACTACTGTCACCTTAGACCTGGCCCTGAGATCACAAAACTCAGCCACAGGGAGCCAGATCTGGATAACAGCACTTTGGATCAGCTTTGTCCACAGACCTACACATTTTTACCAATTCCTATTTGAAAAAGGGACAAATTAAGGAAATGGGTTTCAAAAGCTAGAATTCTTT